GCGAGGCGGGCGCCTCGGAGGCTCCTGGCCCCTCGGCGCCGACGGGGCTGACGGAGGGGATGAGGGTCGGCAGGGCGATGTTGAGTATCTGCAAGCCGGGAATGTGGGCCTGTGGGCTGGGGTTGCCCTGCGGGGACGCACCGGCAGTCAAAACCTGGAGGCCCACGGCGTTCAGGGTAATTCCCGAAGGGCGCATCTGCGGGGCGATGTTTGTGTTTGCCAGGCCCAAGATGTTCACCGTCTCCATGCCCAGCGGTGGCAGAGGCTGCAGGCTGGGTGTGCTGAGACCCTGGATGCCCGGCACGCTCACCTGGCCTATGGGAATGCACGGCACGACGCTGTTCACCTCGGCGACTCCCATGGGATTTGGAGCAGCGGCGGCCGCGCCGCCCGTCTCGCCGAGGGCGCTGGTAGTTCTGTGAATCACACTAACAGCAGGGATAGTGAGCTGCACCGGCCCTGCCTGGATGGGAACGAAGGTGGAGTAGGTGGCCAGGCCAGCAGGGACCACCTGAATCCCCCCGACCGGTACTGTGCCGTAGGGTGCCTTGGCTTGCCGCTGTGAGTGCAGGGGGAGGTGGCTGAAGAGGTGAGTTTGGGGAGCCCTCAGCTCGGTGGCGTGCTGCGGGCACCCAACCAGCTTCTCCTCTGGGATTTCGGCATAGGGTGACGGCGCTGTCGTTTGCATGCTGCGGTCCACCGGTGAGGAGGGAGAGCTGACGGAGGGTGTGCTCTGCGAGAGAACAACACAGGCGTGTTAGTGCGGCGGCCACCGCTATCCTCCAGTGAAATGAAAACGCAAGGTAGCTAGGACTGCTTCCCACACTCCCTTTTAAGAAAAACCACCAACAAACGGGTTCACAGTATATACTGCCCAGCTTGAACAATGCACTGATTTCCTTCCTTTCTTTTTCCAACTCCTTCCTCGCCCACTAATTGAATTTTCCTCTCCTAATTACCCTGGCTAATTTCCCTTGAACACTAGTACTCAAAAACATTGCTGAATATCCTTTGTATGTGTTTTTTAAGGAGGGAGAAGGCTTTGGAGAACTGTTTTCTGTGGAAATCACCTCAGGCAAGAAGGTTAAATAAGCATAAGCTGGCTTTTTTGATGCACCAGGTTCCTCTCCTGGAGGCATTACAGCCTCTGGCAGGCAGAGGCAGCATCATGGCACATCTGTCTGTAGGTGCTCCTAATGTGGAAGACAGGCGATATGCAGTGACAAGAGATGGATGACAACTACAGTGCCTGCAGAGGCGGAGGTGACGGGCGGATACTGGAGCAAGACGTGGGACCCACAGCCTACTGCTGCCTCAGCTCGCCGTGATTTGGTGCACACACCTGGATTGATAATCGTATTTATATGCTCCCTTTTCTTCTCACATAGTCTGTGTTACCAAGGCTGGCAACTCCTTTCCTTAAAACACCTAAAACGAGAATTCTTAAACTGCAATTGCAATCTTGCAGTATCTTTTAGCTTTAGGCATACTCATAACACATAAAGAGTGGTGCAACTATATTTAGTTTGTATAGTCCTAAACTGATAATTCTGCGGCTTTGACCAAACTCCCAAGAAATCTCTAGAGCAGGCACAAAACGAAAACACTAAAAGAAATGCTTTCGAAAACTGCTGGTAGGAAATGTATTGGTTGAAGGAGAATATGATTTACTGACTACGCAGTGCTGACCAATCTGAATGGGAAGATGGGTGTAAGAAGGAAGCCAACACCCTCCTCAGAATTAAGTCCTGTCTGACACCTCACAAGAAACCCTGATAAACTGGTACGGATGCTTTCGAAGGAACATACAACAGCCTTCCTGAGCTGTCTTGACCCCTTGTCTCGATGGCAAGAAGTGGGATCCACAACCGTTCACAATAGGAACAGACTGTAGATTAACCATCAGACACACAGCTGCCACTTCTTTTGGTCTGGGAAAGGAGGAGGTAGTCTGGAAAGGAATTACTGCCTTGTATTACTTACATGCCTTTTTTTTTTTAATATATTAATGTAGACTATTATTAGAGCTATATTAATGAAGACCTTTCACCATTTTTAATTGTGTGGATATTTTCTTGAGACTTCAGTGGTTCTGTTCAATGAGGGAGTAAACTCAGTCGAATGTCTTTCTGGTATCTATTGGCAACAACTGAAACCCAAAATCCACATATTAAGTTCCTACACCTTTGGTGGCAGGTATATACAGTGATCAGAGACCACTACATTTTATTCTTTGTCATACTACAAAATCGCTCCAATTTACATTTGCCACACAGACTCACAGTTCTTACAAACAGGAATGAACCTGTGTCAATGAAATGCAGCAATAATTTTTACTGTTTCTCCTTGCCAACAGTTCACTATCTTCAATTTTGTAAAAAATAAATCCAGTAGTACAGCCTTTCAAAGAAAAATCAAGCCAGTAAGTACTTAAACCAGAATGAAATTTTTACTTACTGTTTATGCTTTTGAAATTTTCCTGCTGCTTATTTTTCTATAACTGCATGCATATACTATTTGTAAATATTGCATTAATCACAGAGAAGGCAGTAATTACTCCTTTATTTAAACTACATTTTGCATCATATTTTTCTGAGCATTATTCTGGAAAGCTCTAACGCCTTCATGGTCTGCAGTAAAACTTCAAAACTTTCAAGAGATATCCTTTGGGTCAATCAGGTATGTGACTTATACCATCCCCATTACAGTCCATTAAAATACTGCTAAATTGTAAAAGGCTTAAC